TGTAAGTGTTCAGTAAAGGTCTGGCCTCTTTCTTTGGTAATACAATAAAACCTAAAGGGAAATACTAAAGTACCAAGAGTATATAAATGTGGCGTATGTGTAATTGTACTCTTAAACTGTTAATTTGGAACAAGAAGCCTCATTGAGGGTTGGGGATGTGGCTGAGCTGATAGAGTACTTGCCTCACACATAAGAAGTCCTGGGTTTGACCACAGAAATGCACAAACCAGGTATTTTGGCATATGCCTGTAATCCTTGCACTCAGGAGGTAGAAGGAGAAGGATCAAGGATTCAAAGTCATTCTCTGCTACAAACTTTTAGGCCAACCAGAGATACCTGAGACTGTCTCAAAACAATAATGGATAAAACAAAACCAGAGAGATAAATGTGAGTCAGGAATTGTGACCAGGAAAGGTAAAAGGATCAAGGGTTTAATGTAATTGTTTGCTTACCAGGTGCAAGGCCCTGTATTTTAAAAACATTATGATTATGATAATTTTGCCTGCATGTAAATATGTACACCATGTATAAGTTTAGTGCCCATAGAGACCAGAAGAGTGTGTCAGATTTCCTGGAACTGGAGTCACAATTTGTGAACCATCATGTGAGTGTTGGGAACTGAATCAAAGTCCTCTGGAAGAGCAGCCAGTGCTTTTCTTTAGCCACAGGGCTCTGCATTTGACTCTAGTGAAATGAAGGTTGACTTTGATGTGCTGTTTATTACATTAGGATACTGTCCCATGGGGTAGCACTGTTGAAATTCTGAAAACTTAGATTTTAGGAGCTCCATGGGATGTCTTTGGGAATGCTTTTAAATGGAGTTATAGGATCTTGATATTCACATGATAATTGTATACATTAGTTGGTCTCTTCACTCATGTACCCAGCACTGTTTAGGTCTACTTTCCTCCTGTTTTCATATCTGCAACTAACCAATCCTGAATAATCCCTGAGTTAATTTCTTTTGGTTGTCTGAACTTGGATCTGTAGGTTTGTATCCTTTACCAGATTTAGGAATCTTTTAGCTGTTACCAACTTTTTCTAGCACCACATTCTTGTGTTTTAATTTCATTTCACTTTTCTTTGATATATCATTATATTCTTCCATTTCTAAAATTTTCATTTCTAATTCATTTACTCTTTTTTTTTTTGGGAGACAGTTTTGGTATGTAGGCCAAACTCAAACTTGCTACCAGCTTGCCTCAGCCTCTGGCATCCTGGATTCCAGGCATGCATTACCACAACAGGTGGGGGACTTTAGGTTTTTGATCTGTAGTCATTTGAAAGGTAATCTAACATGCTAATCTGACCCATGCCCAGCTAGTAATTAATAAAATAATATGTGGCAATAATTAGAACGAAGACCTAATTCTCTTCCACTCAAAATGAACTTCATAGTTGCGGTCAAGAGAAATATCTGGATGTGGTGTAATGCTTGCCTCTAGTTTTTTTTTTTTTTTTTGGTTTTTCGAGACAGGGTTTCTCTGTGGCTTTGGAGGCTGTCCTGGAACTAACTCTTGTAGACCAGGCTGGCCTCGAACTCACAGAGATTCACCTTCCTTTGCTGGGATTAAAGGTGTGCATCACCAATGCCCGGCTTGCCTGTAGTCTTAGCATCTGGGAGGTGAAGTCATCAGTCTCACTGGGTCCAACCAAAGTCAGGTGCTGTATCATAGAACAATGCTAATGAGTGAATACTGCTTATTGACATCTCGAACTGGCAATGCAAGCAAATACCAAAGTAAGTGAATTGTGATTGTCTAGCCTGAGTTTTTCCTTCTCTCTCTCTCTCCCTCTCCCTCTCCCCCCTCCCCCGCTCTCTCATTTTTTGAGGCAGTGCCTTACCAGATAGCACAGACTGGCTTTAAATGCATTATGTAGCCTAATAGCCTAATGTGGCATTAGATTTCAGTCGTGTCTCAACCTCCTGAGCCCAGTGAGTACGGGTGTGAGCCTCTATGACTAATCTATAATGTTTGTTTAATGAGAGTTGAGTCTTAGGTGGCCCAGTCTGGCCTCCAGCCTGCACAACCCAGGGTTCAACCCCTAGCCTCTCCACCACTAGCCGCCTTATCCTGTAACTGTGCCCAGCTCTGGCTGTTCACCTACCCTTAATGTCCCTCCACCTGTAGAACTTTCCAACCACCCTCTCTCCCATCAGGTACACACACACTCACATTCCCTTAAGAATTATAGGGGAGACCTGCAGGCTGGAGAGGTGGCTCAGCAGCTAAGAGCACTGGTTGCTCTTCCTGAGGTCCTGGGTTCAATTCCCAGCACCCACAAGGCAGCTCACAGCTGTCTGTACCGCTAAGATCTGACAGCCTCACAGAGACATACATGTAGGCAAAACACCAATGCACATAAAATAAAAAACAAGTATAAAAAATGAAAAGAATTACAGGGGAGACATGGGAACAACTAAAAATAATAGTCTTCATTTGGAAAACATCCTTTTCAGGATGGCCATTGAGGACCTTGGCACCATCTAAGTTCATGTCCTCTTCATGTCTGCAGGAGCATATATGTATGTATATCAAGGTCTTGTGTAGAATAGGCTGCTTCCAATACCCTATGTCGTGAAGGATGGTCTTGAACATATGATTCCTTTGAACATCTTTTTCCTTCTAAGTAGACAGAGGAGATCGTTAAAATTTCTTTTGAATCACTATTGTGTTGGGGTAGGGTGGGGGTGAGAGGGCAGCTTGCTCTCATCTTTCATGTGAGTCCTGGGCATTGCATGCATTCAGGTGGTCAGGGTTGGCAGTAGGCACCTCTACCTTCCCAGTCATCTTGCCAGCCCTGAGAGCAGGATTTTTGACCCTGAAGGGTTAATCTAGATGAACTGAACCAGCTTGATAACCTGGCTACAGCAACTGCCTATTCTCTGCCTAACTCAGGAAACCCTGGAGTCCCCCCAATCCAGAGACCATTCACTTGCTTAGTCTGAGAACTACAATGGGAGAAGAAATCCTTTCTGCTACCATTTTGGTCAACTAAGACATTTAAGTCATCAGTGTTTATAGCCCTTGAGCTGCGTGCTTCACCTGGGTTCATGTCAAAACTGCAATTGGAGGTAGACAGAAGGCGACATTCTCATAAACGTTCCCATTCATGCCTGCCTTTCCTTTTGTTTCTACATTATGAAGAGCTCAAGAAGGAAAAAAAGTCATCATTTGTGAATGATAGTCATTAGAGGATTTCTCAATTGAGAAAATGCCTCCATAAGATTAAGATGTGGCACTGGGTAGTGGTGGTGGATGCCTTTAATCCCAGCACTTGGAAGGCAGAGGCAGGTGGATGTCTAAGTTCCAGGACAGCCAAGGCTACACAAAGAAACCCTGTCTTGAAACCACACACATACACAACAGAAAGGTAAGTTCTGGCTTTTAGGCAAGCCTGTAGGACGTTTTCTCAGTGATTGATGGGGAGTACACAGCCCAGTGTGGGCGGTGTCACCCCTGGGCTGATTGTCTGGGGTTCTATACAAAAGCATGCTGAGGAAGCCATGAGTAGCAAATCAGTTAAGAACTACTTCTTCATAGCCTGTGAACCAGCTCGTGTCAAGTTTCTGCCAGGTTTGAGTTCCTTCCCAGGCTTCTCTCTGTGAACTTGGGATATGTAAGCCAAATAAAACCTTTCCTCACTTAGTTGTTTTTGGTCCTGGTGTTTCATCATAGCAATAGCAACTGTAAGAAAGACAGTGCCATAGAGATGACTTTTTAAAAAAAATATTTTATTTAGTGTATATACAGTCTTCTGTCTGCATGCCAGCAGAGGGCACCAGATCTCATTCAAGGTGGTTGTGAGGCACCATGTGGTTGCCGGGAATTGAACTCAGGAACTCTGGAAGAACAGTCAGTGTCCTTATCTGCGGAGCCATCTCTCCAGCCCGAGATGACTTTTTTTTTTTTTTTTTGGTTTTTTCGAGACAAGGTTTCTCTGTGGCTTTGGAGGCTGTCCTGGAACTCACTCTGTAGACCAGGCTGGTCTGGAGCTCACAGAGATCCACCTGCCTCTGCCTCCCCAGTGCTGGGATTAAAGGCGTGCGCCACCACCGCCTGGCTATCATTTACGATTTCTTAAAGAATTAGAGTTTATTAAGATTTTTTTTTTTGGAGGGAAAGAGTCTCAAACTTGATGCCATTGGACTGGCTTGGAACTTGCTATGTATACCAGGCTGGTCTCTGCTTCCCAATCTCTGGGATTACAAGGATGTGCTATCCCAATCACTGAAAAAAAGTGTTTAACATAGATTTAGGCACAGGGTTAATACAAGCTAAGGGGAAAGATAAAACACAGCTACCAGAGTGAGTGTGGGTTTCTCAAGCTGAGAGTTCCCGGTCTATGACTTGTTGAAACTCCAGGGACTGTTAAGATGTATCCAATGTCTATTTTGCAAAGCCCCAGACATCCTTCTACTATCTATGTATCCCTATATTGCCCAACAGGTTTCCCCCAAAGTCTGAGGCCTCTCCATTTCCAGATGTTCACTAACATCCATTTCTATGACGCTAACCGTTAAGGACCTCAACAAAATTTCTTAGTGGCCCCTTATCCAGACACCTACAAGGCGGCAGGGCTGACCAGGGACCCACCAGCCTAGACTCCCGGAAGGTAAACACATCTCCGCAGGCGGGGCAGAGGGCGGGCTAGGGCAGTCTGAGTGGCTAGGTAAAAGTGATTGGCAGCTGCCACATCCACGTGCTTTTAGCTTCGAATCAGCTGTCGCGAGAATTCCATGTAAACACACCAGCGTCCCTGGCCTCGGGCTCGGCAGGGGAGACTTCTGGCTGAGATCGGCAGGCGTTTCGAGCAGGCTGCGTTTTCTTAAAGCAGAAAAGCCACCAGGGCGCCTCTTTCAGGTCCGCAGACACACATGCCTTTTCTCCCCCGCCGCCTGCATTCGCAACCGAACCTGACCCGCCCGCTTCACCCGAACTTCCATACTGTTGTGTTTTCCCTCCAGCCCCAGCGGATTGGATGGATTCCGAAGGCGGGTCCGCCTCTTTCCTACTTGCTGGTTGGCGAAGCTGACCTCCAAGGGCGGTGCCGCGCCGGGGCCACTTTGCTCCTGGGATTGGCTAGTGCGGTGGTTCCGCCGAGGCGTGGTAGGAAGTGGTAGCTGTCAATCACGAGGGAGACTCCAAACAGTGAGCCTGGAGCTGTAGAGCAGCGTTTACCGGCGGAGCGGCCGGTGAGAAGGCTGGCTGGTCCTTGGTCTGGGGGAGGCTTGGAGAGGAAAAGGGACTGGCAGCATGAGGGGACAGGGCATGGCCAGCCCCAGTTGATGGGGGAAAGGTGTTGAAATTGGAGGAGAGCCGGGCAAGAGGCCAGAGGGCGGCCGGGGGCAGTGGTGGCTGGGCTTTGGAGGTGAAGGGGGGAGTGCTGTTCCCTTGGCATTGGGGAGAGTGGGGCCTGAGAGGCTTGCGAGGAGCTGTCCTCAGGTGACAAGGCCCTTTAAAGGACAGAGGTGGGGAGACTGGTTCGGGTAAGGAGGGGTGGAATGGAAATGAGAGTGTTGAGGGGTCTGGTGAAGGGTGCTGCCGAGAAAGGGATAGCTGGACTAGATGGGACAAGGGTGTTTGGGTTGTATAGGAGTGTGGGAATCAAAGTTTTCATAGGAGATGATAGTGTACCCTACTTAAAAGTGATGCTGTTAGGCTCTTTCCAGTTTACCTCCAGGCTGTGGGCTTTCTTGGACCTTTTAAGAAATCTCTAGTCCTGGTGTCAGTCCCTTTTAACTTTAATCGGGTAGACTCTGTGCTCTTAAAACTACCTCAGTGATTGTGAAGCTCATTAGATGTCAGTGGCCTGGATTGTGTGGGAAAAGCCAGGGGGTCCCTCACATCATATGGGTTTATACATATTTGTTTACATCTGGCGACTCTGCTACCATACTTGGAGGTTAAAGATATTTAAATGTGGCTACACAGTTTACACATTGATCCTCAACAGATTTATTTGAAGTAGAGTGAGATCCTGTCACTTTCATTTGATCTTTGCCTCACATGGGCCATCTATCCTTTATGTCAGTGGCTGTGTAGCTAAGGTCGACTTTGACTTCCTGATTTTCCTGCCTCCACCTTCCAGGTGCTGGGATGATAGGCATGGATCACTAGGCCCCTGGCCAGTTTTTTTTCTTTAAGACAGAGTCATACTAAGTACTTCAGGCTCGTGCTCCCCTCCACCTCATGGCAGTTTCCTTGCCTCAGCCTCCCGGGTGCTGGTTACTGGTCTGTTCTGCCACACTGGATTCTGTATTTGGTTTTATATGTGATCTGAGATAGAGTTCCCATTTAGTGTTTTGTTCTTTTATCTTTCTGCTTTTATGTTAACAATAGAACAGAGTCCCAGTAAAAAAGTGAACTGTTTTGACTTTTAGATGTTAGGCCAATTCAAGGCTAGTCTCCTTTGTGGAATGAGACCCTATCTTAGAAAAAGAGAAGAATCTTCCTGGGTGTGGTGGCCACACCTTTAATCCCAGTGTCTTGGCATGCAGGTCTCTGGGAATTCTAGGCCAGCTGCAGCTAGATAGTGAGTTTCTAGGAAAAGTCATAGTTTATTACAGTTTGGAAAAGGAATCTTTAGTGAATAATCATAAAACTCTCCCTCCAAAAACTAATATATTTTATCTTTTATCCTGGAAACAGGTCTTATGAATGACACAATGGCTACAGACTCTCCTAGAAGACCCAGTCGCTGTACCGGTGGCGTTGTGGTTCGCCCTCAGGCCGTCACGTAAGCACCTTTTAGAAAAGAGAGCTCTGGAAGTGAAGAAAACATTATTATTTGGTTGTTCGAGACAGGGTTTTCTGTGTAGTCCTGGCTGTTCTGGAACTTTGTAGATCAGGATGGCCTTGAACTCACATAGTTCTGCTTGCCTCTGCCTCCCAGACCAAAGGCACATGCCACCACACCCACCAAGAAAACATTATTCTAAAAAACAACTTCCGTTCAGAATATCTATTTGGATAGTGCTTGCTTTTATAAACATTTTTTAAACTTTTTGTCCATGCAGGTGAAGTGTATGTCTTTTGGTCTTTCCAGACAGGGTTTCTTTGTGTGGCTTCGGAACTAGCTCTTGTAGACCAGGCTGGTCTCGAACTCACAGAGATCTGCCTGCCTCTTCCTCCCCAGTGCTGGGATTAAAGGCATGCGCCACCACCGCCCGGCTAAAGTGTATGTCATTGTCAAGGCCAAATGAAGGAACAGTTGGAAGGTTTAGTTGACATATTCAGCACATTTGTGGAGTGCATGAGGGCGACTGCTAAACCCTGGAGAGCAGTGTGAGTGCTTGGGTAGAACACTTGCCTAATTTGTGGGAAGTACTAGGTTTATTTCCCAGCATCACCAAAAAGGTAAAATCTAAAAATCAATGTTTTTAAGCTCCAAGTTTCACAAGCTAGTGGGTCATTAAATGAGTTTAGAGGGTCATGATCTGTATTTGGAAAAGAATGAACTAGGGATTGGGTTATAAGTCACTGCTGAGTGTTCTAGCATTCCCAAATGCTGGGCTCCATCTCCAGCACCATGGACATACACAAACACTGGTCACATGTTTATATATACATATAAAACAAAGAAAGTTGGTGTTTGATATGTGCAGAGGCATACTCATCCCATGTACATGATTACTAAATTGTGATGTAAAATGTATCTCTTATAGGTATTGGTATAAATGTTACAAAGGGGGCATTTCTATTTAACTGTTCTTTGACAGGGCAGCTATACTTTCTAGGAGTTTATGAACCAATGTGGTTTAAAGACATATAGTTAAAATTAGTGTAATCACTGCAAAAGAAAAGATGCCAGCAAAACAACATGAGTAGTTAGAGGGGCTATTTTAGTAGTGACAAGGGTTCATGAGAAGGTAACATTTTGGGGGATTATTAGGATGCCTCAGTGGGCAAGAGAGCTTGCCACCAATCCTGAGGATCCAAGTTTGATTCCTGGGACCCATGTGATAGAATGGGAGAACCAGCTCTTATAGGTACTCCTCTGATCTCCATATGCCTGCACCAGGCCCCTTAGACACACAGACACACAGACACATACACACATGGAATAGAATAAAATTAAAACAATTTTGGAAGACGGTAACATTTTGAGTTATCTTTAAAGGCTAGGATTAGGACTCTTAGACTCAAGGTGCTTTTTTAGCAAAGAGAATAGAATAAACATAAGGAATAGGAAAACCACTCTCTTTTTTGTGTTTTTGAGACAGGTTCATGTTTTTCTTACACTTGTTATATAGCAACACTGTCTTTGAACTCCCTTTTGTTTCAAAGCTTAGATTCCAAGCCTGTGTTGCTACGCCCAGTTTTTTTTTTTTTTTGGTTTTTCCAAAGCAATACAGAGAAACCCTGTCATGTAAAACCAAAAAAAATGCTTAGAGAATAATATTTTAGATTGTGTCCTTTGGGTAGTTTAGTGTATCACGAAAGAGTTCTCTCAGACTAAAAAAGGCTTATGTAGGCAGTGATATCATAATACTGCCTTTCCTCCTTCTATATTCTCCAGAGTTGAATTTCTTTGTGGTATTTGCTGTGGCATTAAGTTAAACATGTTATTAGCTGTGAGTGAGGTTACTATTTTAATCTTCCTTTATAGGTGAGGAAAACAAAGCAGAGAGGAAAAAGCTTGTCATTGGTAATAGCCAGGATGGGAAGCCTGCAGGGAGCCCAGTTAGTGGGTCTTCAGGGTCTGTGTTCTCCCTTAGTGTTCGCTGCTCCCCCACCATATGGTGCTCAGACCACAGCAATGATTTTGGTTACACAGGTGACTTTAGGGTTAGGAAAAGTAATATCGAGCACAGTATCCTGCCTTCTTTGACAAACAGTGCCTGAGCACCAAGTTTCCACTTGTAGTGGGAACAGGTTCTGGATGTAGAAGGTGAATGTGAGATGGGGAAACAGACGAGGATGCCAGCTGATCTTGCCACAGGATGGAAGGGGGGTGTGTGCCAACGGGTGCCCCGAGGAAGCAGCACTGAAGGTGGGCATGTGGGGAAGGAAGAAACAGCAGAAGAAATTGAGCCGAGCAAAGGACCTTGTAAGATCTTGAGTCAGGGCAAAGTGTGTGCCACTATTACCTAGTTGGGAATCTCTTAATCTTTCTGTCTGTCTGTCTGTCTGTCTGTCTGTCTGTCTGTCTGTCTTACTTTCTTTTTTTAAAAGATTTATTACGTATACACTGTTCCTTCTGCATGTATGTCTGCATGGATAGTTGTGAGTCACCATGTGGTTACTGGGAATTGAACTCAGGACCTCTGGAAGAACAGCCAGTGCTAAGCCATCTCTCCAGCCCCAATCTTTTCTTTTCTTTTGAGGTAGGCCTTCCTGAACTTCTGACTCCCTGCTTCTACTTCCGAGTGCTGACATAACAGGTGTGTCAGTTCATGCAGTGCTGGGGATGAAACCTAGGACTTGGTGCATGCCAGCTAAGCACTCGACCACCTAAGCTACATGCCCCATATTATTTTTTTCAAATTGGTTCTTTGACAGGTTCTCAGTATGTAGCTGAGACTGGCCTCAAATTCATGACAATCCTTCTTTAGCACTGGTATTATAGGTATAAGCCGTTACAACCATTAGTCCCATTTTCTTCAGTGACAGTTGTTCACATCTTTCAGAAATTGTTATTTTGAGGAAGTCATTATTTTTTCCACTTACTGACATCTGTATACTGGCTATTTCAACTATCTTCATGGTTGGAGCTATCATTCAGTGGTAGGCAGTTTTCCACATCCCCAGGACTACAAAAACAAAAACAAAATGTCATTGTTTAACATTCTTAACAGTATTATTTTTCCTTTCTATCTTTTCTTTTTTGTGGTGCTGGAAAGTGAACCTGAGGTTTCATACTTGATAGGGAAGTGCTCTACCATTGAGCTATTTCCCCAGTCCCCTTTTCTAACTTTTGTAACTTACCTTGTGCTTTTCATTTTTATTTATTTATTTTTGAGACAGGTTTCTCTGTGTAGCCCTGACTGTTCTGGAATTCTGTAGTCCAGGCTGTCCTCGAACTCAGAGATCTACCTGCCTCTGCCTCCCAAGTGCTGGGACTAAAGGTGAGCCACCAATGCCCAGCTTATTTTAGTGTTTTGATACAAGGTCCAATTTCATAGGTCAGACTAGCTTGGAACCCATGATCTTTCTGTTTCAGCTTTCCAAGTGCTATGGTTACAGTGTGTCATCACACTCATCCTTTCATACTGCCCTCCTTTTTTTTCTTTTACGTACGACAGGACTGCACTATCCTGGAACTAGCCAAGTAGGCTGGGGTGACTGATAAGTGAGCTCCAGAGATCCTTCTGTGTCTTCCTCCCTAGTCTGGGATTATATACATTTGTCACCTACCCAGATTTTTTTTTAATGTGCTCTGGGGATTGAACAGGTCCAAGCACAGCATACTGAGCCATCTCCCCAGCACTGAGCATTTGTTCTATTGCCTGCATATGTAGGAAAAAGCATTCACTTTGCTACATAGAGTTAAGGGACAAGGTTCATAGAGACCATCAGGAAATTCTGAGTCACCAGCAACAGTTCTCTCTCTCTAGCTAGGGCATTATCGTCCAGTCCTGCCTAGGACTCCTGCCATCACGTCTTCAAAGTTCCCTTTATTTAATTAGGAGAGCAGAACTTTAGGGGAGATGATTTATAACATAGAAACAACAGATAGAATGATGGTGTAGACTTAAGAGAATATGGGAAAGTAGACTCACCAGATGATGGGAGATGGCCTGCTTTTCTTACCTCTTGTTTTACTGGGATAGTGTATTTGTTAAAGGCTTTGTGGGTCATGCTTTCTCTGTTCTGTCTTAAGCTGTCTGACAGCTTTTATCCATCTGTCCTTTTCCAGGGAGCAGTCCTACATGGAGAGCGTCGTGACTTTTCTGCAGGATGTTGTGCCACAGGTAAGCATGTGTGAGTACAGAAATGGCTGCTTTGCTTTTGGGTCAGGAAGCACTGGAATTTTGTTTCCTGAGCTTGATTGAGTGAGTAGTTTTGGAAAGTCTCATTTTGGCATGCTGAGGGTCAATAGGATAGAGCTGTGCTTGTGACTGTGAGATATGGCTCATTTTTGTGATGACAGGGCCTTGTCATTCCCTTAGGATGTGCTTTTTTAAGTAGAATCCAGGGGCACGCTCTACTTGGTGTCTTCCCAGGACCTAGGAATCAAACCCAGGCCTTGTCAAATGCATGCTTTGCCAGTGGGTTACATCCCCAACACTTTCCTAAGTACTTTTCTTGTCTAAGGTAAGAGGTCTGGGGCTTGGGATGTATGTAGCCTAGCGACGATCACTTCCCAAGCATGCATTAGGCACTGGGTTTGGTCCCTAGCCCCACATACTTATATACCCATATGTTGCTCCTGCAGAGATGCCTGAGTGCCATGGGAAAGGCACTATATACTATATATATTAACTAGGTAGTAATTTAATATTATTTATGTGAATGTTTATATTTAGTCCAAATTGTCATCTCTTTGCTTTTGAGAAGTGGTGTTTTGCTATTTGTATAGAAGGTATGCCCTTTTGCCCAATTTGTCAGAGATGAAGGCCCTTACTATTTCTGTTTCTTTAAATGTGATGCTCTTTTTTTTGTTTGTTTATTTGTTTAGGTTTTTCAAGACAGGGTTTCTCTGTGTAGCTTTAGAGCCTGTTCTGGATCTCTGTAGACCAGACTGGCCTCAAACTCACAGAGATCCACCTGCCTCTGCCTCCTGAATGCTGAGATTAAAGGTGTGTGCCACCACGGCCTGGCATGATCTTCTTTTTAAGAGAGCAGCCTTGCAGGAATCAGCTAGTGCATTACTGTTCACATTTATTTAATTCTAATATTACTTGGCTTCTTATTAAACATAGTAGTAATTTCCAGGCCTGTCTCTCAAGAGAGTGTTAGAGTCCAGCTCCCTTGTCTGTAGCAAAGCTTTCAAGTTAGAGTCCAGTTCCCATGTCTGTAGCAAGGCTGGCTCTCTGGGATTAGCTGTGGGGCAGGGATGGGCAAGTGCTGTTCTGGTGGGGCTGTTGAAGGAAGGGCAGTCTTGCTTATTTTATCTGTGTGGATGTCAGTCCTCACCTGAGCTTTTTGGAGAGGACTTTTCACGGACCATATGCCAATTATATGAGCATATCCCAGAAAGGTTCACGGTCTAGATTCTTAGTTGTGCTTATTAGCAAAATGTATTCAAGTAAGGAATACTGATACTGCTTCATTATATTTAATCAGTTTGAATAAAAACAGGCCACAGCATTGCGGTCTGTGGTGCACATGAGGAAAAATGCCCCCCTTTCCTGAGGCACTTGCTTAGTAAGTCAAATTGCTTAAAAAACAAGCAAAGATTATTAATGGCAACAAATCACCACTGTTGCCGTGTAGCACACTGAGAAACTGAGTTGTGAGGGGATGCATAGAGACGGGAGAGAAATGAAGGGAACGGGCAGCTGATCGGACGGCAACAAGGCTCTGATGCAGCGGAGGAGTCGACGTCTGTGGTGGTCAGGCGGAGGGAGCAGTGGGTGCCTGACAGCCAGCTTGTTCTAGCTTTAAGCCCCGAGTCTTGGCATGCGGCTGCAATTCCATGGAAAGGTGATTTAAAAATATTTGGCTTTTGTATTGTGTGCTGCTTCCCCAGAGCATCTTTATCAAATGTTATCTAGGCATCTTTTGTGTAGCTAGGAACCCTGTGCAACAAGGAGGTGTTATTATTTTTTGGCTGGAGGAGAAAGGCTATGGTCAGAAATTTTGAGAGCTCTTCCCTTTTGTAAGTGGTTGGAGCGGGACAGGAACAGGGAAAACTGGGAGCTAAAACCAATGGGGAAATGCCAGAAATTCTAGTTTTTCTGAATATGTCAGGAAGGGGATAACATGACCCATATAGCCAGCTGTGAAAATGGTTCAGAGCAGGTACTATGGAAGTAAACTTTGAGGCATTGATTGATCTAAGAATTAAAATACCCAGCCAGAAATTCCTATGTTGCTTGTTCTTTGTCTGAGTTGATGGTGTCACTTGAGCAGATAGCATTTACCTGGGTTCTGTGCACTTGGCAGGTCCTGAGCCGAGCTGATGGGATTCTGAGTCTTTGCTTCAGGCCTTGGTCTGCTTGTGCAGCTTGGCAGACCTCTTCTGTAGAGCTCAGGTGTTCTTCCCAGGCACACAGCACCCTGTAAAGGAACGGGTATGGCTGTTGCTTTAGTAAAACATGATTCATCAACACAGGTCCCCATATAATTAAGACCCAGCTAAAATACATGGCCAAATAAACACCATAGTAAAAGTATAAAGTACCCTGCTGTGGCATTGTTACATAAAAGGGAGAGAATCAGTGTACCTGGGACTGGATCTGGGTGTGATTCACCCAGCTTTGAGTTCTTATACTTGTGGAGGCTGAGGCCTGATGGTTGAGGGTTCCAGGCTAGCCTGGGATACATAGTGAGAGAAACAAGCCATCAGACAGAAGTTTCATGTGTCAGATGCCTTCTGAACTGAGGAGTAAAGGAGAATGTAATGTAGCCTTAGTGAATTTGGGTCAGAAACAGGAATGGTAGGTTTGCGTCAGGTACAGCCTTATGTGGGCAGTGGGGGTGCACGCCTTTAATCCCAGCACTTGGGAGGAAGAACCAGGAGGATATCTGTGAGTTTGAGGACAGCCTGGTCTACAATGTGAGTTCCAGGACATCGAGGGCTGTTACAGAGAAAGCCTGTCTTGAAAAATAAAAGTACAGCTTGATGGTAGATCTGGTTTACACTCAGGTGGACATGTTACTAGCTTTAGGTAAGTTACTGCATCATTTCCTGAACATCAATGTCCTTTTTTGTACAACATCCTTTGTACTTACTGTGGGTTTTGTCTTGGCTTAAGGGAAGCTATGTATATAGAGCATAGATAGCATAAAGTGAAACAAATACTACCTCCCTTCTCTTGGAGGGAGCCTCAGGAGACTGCAGCTCCAAAGCCAGAGATTATGGCTTTTAAGTGGCTGCAGCAACTGGATGAGCCCAAAGTATTATAGGTTCCCCCTCTCCTCTCTCTCCCAGCTCTTTCCCTTTCCCCAACATGCTTCCCAATGGCTTGAGTACAGGATCTGAACACTGAACCTCACTTTTACTTGTATTACTGTGTGCATATGTTTGGGTGTGCAGGGAGGTCATAGGACAACTTTTGGGGGTGCTTTTCTCCTTCCACCTGTGTGTCCCAAGAATCCTGGTGAACAGTCTTCCTGCCCTTTAATTCCTTTCCCTTTTTCTTTTTTAAGACTTACATTCTTTTTTCTTTCTTTTGGGACAAGGTATCATTATGTAAAGTTGGCCTCAAACTGACAAGATCCACCTGTCTTTGCTTCCTGTATGTGTATGTGTGGGGTGGTATAGGACCCTGCAGAGGCCTACAGATTCCCTGGAAATTGTGAGCTGACTTATGTGGATGTTCGGATCCAAACTTGGGTCTTCTACAAGTGTTGTTAACTGATAAACCTTGTCTCCAGTGTCAGAGATAATAATAATAAAAAAGACTTTTTTTTCTCTTTGCTTGATACATAGGGCAGTCCTCCTCTCTGCCACCTTTGATCTGTATGGTGCTGTAGTCAGCAATAGGAAAGTGGCATTAAAAATATATTTAAGCCAAGTGTGGTGGCACATGCCTTTAGTCCCAGCACTTACGTGGCAGAGGAAGGAGGATCTCTTGAGTCCAGGCTATTTTGGTTTTATGCAGTGAGTTTCAGCACAACCAGAACTAAACAGAGACAGACATCCTGTGTATCCCAAAAAATTATTTATTTTATGTGTGTGACTGACAGGTCCTCAGAGGGATCCCCTGGGACTGGAGTTGCCTTTGTGAGCTGTTAAGTGGGTGCTGGATATTGAACCGAACTCCTGGAAGAGCAGTCAGCACTCTTAACCACTGAGCCATCTCTGCAGTCCTCAAAGTTACATTTTTTTTGTTATTGTATCCCAAATGCTCTGCAATTCTGGGAATCAGATTCACAGAATCTAGAAAGTATTGTGCGTGTCTGCAGATGCCCCTGTATAGAGGGAGAACGCCGTTGCCCTAGATAGTAGCTCTTTGTTATCACTCACACAGTTGTGTTGAATTGATAACAGTCTAGGAACCCTTAGCTGTACCCTTTTCTCTGCTAATTTCAGTTAGGAAAACTCATCTTAAATGCAACAACCTATTGGTGTGTTCTAAAAAAATTTCATATTTTTCAGTGTAAAAATTGTAGCAGTAAAATGTCAGCTAGTGAGCAACGGCTGTGTGCATAGGTTCTTGAGATTAAACTTAGTCTGTCAAACTTTTGCAACAGGTTCGTTTATCTGCTGACCCATGTCCCTGACCCTCTTTTTACTTTATTTGAAGATAGTTGTCCATGCTGGCAGTGAACTCACTCTAGCCCAACTTGGTATCTATTTGCCTCAGCTTTGTAAGTAGCTGGCTTTACAGGCCTACACCACTGGGCCTGGCTTTCTCTGTGTGTCCCAGAGTGGTCCCAAACTCTTAGTCCTCCTTTCTCTGCCTCCAGAGTTCATGAATTACAGACTGATCTCTATTAAGTCAGCATGGGATTGGTTCTGAGTAGTAGACTCCTGGGCCTGAGATCAGTGCCTCCCCATCACTCGGTTCTTAGTGCTCCCTGTGATCTCTAGTCCCTGGTCTGCGCCTGTGCACTCTGCTGCCCATCTCTCCACAGCTCTAGGCCTGCTGGTCCTCATCTTTACACTCCATCCCATGACTAGCAATTCCTCTACCTACCCCACCCCCACCCTATTCTACACCTAATCCCCAGATTGTTTTAATGTTTGGTGCTAGGGATTGAATTTGGTCTTTGCAGGCAGCACTCATTCTCTCCTGAGCTAGACCCCTCTCCTTTAGGGGAGAGCTACTGTTGTAGTTTTTTTTTCTTTCTATTGTTGTGGTAAAACACTGACCAAAAGCAATTTAGGAGCTAGACGGTGGTGGCGCACGCCTTTCATCTCAGCATTTGGGAGGCAGAGGCAGGCGGATCTCTGTGAGTTCGAGGCCAACCTGGTCTACAGGGCTAGTTTCAGTACAGCCAGGACTACACAGGGAAACCCTGTTTCAAAACCAAAAGCCACAGGCCAAGAACCAAAAGCCAAAAGCCAAAAAAAAAAAAAAAAAGCACCTAGGGGGGAAAGGGTTTATTTGACTTACAGGTAGAAGTCTGTCACTGAGGGAAGCCAAGGCACGAAACTAGAGGCAGAAACAGAAACAGGAGCCATGGAAGAAGGCTGCTTATTGGCTTGTTTCTAGTCTTAAGTTCAGTTACCTTTCTTATACAGGCCAGGGTCACCTGCTCACAATAGGCCACACGCTCTTATATCAATTAGCAATCAAGAAAATGCATCACAGACATGCTCACAGGGCAGTCTAATGGGGCAGTTGCTTTTTTGAGATGGAATTTCAAGTTACCTGGGTTGGCATTGAACTCCTGGCCTCAAGTTACCTTCCCTCTCAGTCTTACTTGTAGCTTTGAATTTAGTAACATGGATGACCACCACTCTACATGATCTGAAAAAATTGTGTGTGTGTGTGAGACCCGAGTTTCTATGCAATCCAGAATGACCCTGATGATCTTCCAACCCTTGGTTTATGCAGCACTGTGAATCAAGCCCACGGCTTCATGCATGCTAGACAAGCACTCCACCAACTGAACTACATCTCCAGCCCTCCTCAAAAACTTAATGAAAATGAGTTTAACCTGGAGAGGTTATGCTGGGCGCTGGTGGTGCACGCCTTTAATCCCAGCACTCGGGAGGCAGAGGCAGGTGGGTCTCTGTGAGTTGGAGGCCAGCCTGGTCTACAGAGCGAGCGCCAAGATAGCTCCAAAACTATACAGAGAAACCATAGAGAGATGACTTCTTTTGTACACTGATGGGTACTGCCAATATTTTAGCCATGCATATGTATCTTCCTGATTCTTGTAGGCTTGCAATTATTATTATTATTTTTTTTGTTTTACGAGACAGGGTTTCTCTGTATTGTTTTGGAGGCTGTACGTCCAGCCTAGCCTCGAACTCACAGAGATCCGCCTACCTCTGCCTCCCGAGTGCTGGGATTAAAGGCATGAGCCACCACCGCCCGGCTGTAGGCTTGCAATTATTAATGGGTACTTTGTATATGGGAAGCCAGATAATGGACTGAAAAAGTAATATTCTTGAGATGAATAGGTGTGTGGAGTTTTGTTATTCCGTAACCTTTATTGACAAGTGAAGGTGGTGATGGTCACTGTATTTAGGCTTCTGCAATTTTGCGATAAGTTCTATGAGAAGTATCATCTTTAACTGATATTATCAGATTCTCATATAAACATTCTTTGGGAGTAAAAGACATTCCAGAATGTGGTGGCTTCTGCAGAGAGGGATGGAGAAGTTGGAGGGGGTGGAATGGTTGAGTCACCTTTTGCTCTGAACTGTGTGGTATTGGAGGCATACAGTGTCTTAATGAAAACACTTCTGTTTGCTTTGCAGGCTTACAGCGGGACTCCTCTAACAGAAGAAAAGGAGAAGATAGTCTGGGTCAGATTTGAGAACGCAGATCTGAATGGTATGACCAACTTCTCTGGGATGTGTGTCTTAAGTGCTTTTTTGGGGTTGACCTGATTTTAGAAAGAGAGCCCCAATTCAGTCAGGCTACTTTTGCTTTTACTAACTTTTCAGTTTTGAAAATAAATTTGTCTTTAGCTGGGAGTGGTATGTATGCTTATAATCCCAGTGTCCATGAGGCTGAGGCAGGAGGATCCTGAGTTGGAAGTGAGACTGGGGCACATAGGAAGACCTGTTTAGTAAGTAAACACCCTACAGGGTATAGCCATTATGATCTTTGATCATCAGTTTAGATAGCATTTTCATCGTGGAAAATAAACTATATTCATTAAAGGTTGTTCTGTATATCCACCCCCCCAGTCCTTTTTCTTCTTCTTTTTAACAGACTTAATTCACTTTATTTTTCTTGTATAAAAACCTTATGTGGTAACCACAGCTGAAGCCTGGGTCCTCTGAACAGAGACTCTGGTGTGGGTTTTCACAAGATGGTCAGTGAGTTCCTGATAAGGAGACTTGGTGAACACAGTCTCTTTCCAGAGGCCTGGGGTCAGGTAGCTGTAGGTCTTGGAGACGGCATCAAAGGCGGTCTTGGCAAAGTTGCCCAGGGTGGCAGTGCAGCCCCTGGCTGATGTGTAGCAGTCATCAATACCAGCCATCATCAGTAGCTTCTTAGGCACAGGAGCAGAGACGATGCCAGTGCCTCTGGGGCCAGGGACGCACCAACACAAAGCCACAGCGGCCTGTCACTTTGCATGGAGCAGTGTGGGGCTTGCCAGTCTTGTTCCCCCAGCAGCCTCTCTGCACAGGGACAATGGAAAGCTTGGCTCAGATGATGGTCCCCTGGGATGGCAGAAGCTACCAAGGCCAACAGTAATCCCCAGTATCCACAAAAGCCTTGAACCTGGTCCGCTGGCCAGTCTGCTTTTTTCTTAAACTGGATGAAAGTAGCTGAAGATGACCTTGAACTTTTGATTCTTCTGCCACCCTGGCCACTTTCTGGGCTTCTAGGGATGGAACCTTAGACCTCTTGCATGCTACCAAGTATTCTACCAAGTGAGCTGCATTCTCAGGCCTGGACTGACTATTTTGAGGAAAGGTCTCACTGAATTGCTCTTTGTCCCTGAACTCACATTGTAGTCCAGGCTGGCCTTTAACTTGTTGTAGTCATCCTTCCTCAGCCCCATGAGTAGGGAGTAGTATAGGCCCCATACAGTTTTTAATTATGTGAACAGCCATGACTGTGACCATTGGTGTTTAACTGTCTCAAGATTCTGCTTCTGTTCTATCTGGCTTATACTCAGAAGGGAAATTGCTGGATTCCATATGGTAATTCCAATCTTAATTTTCTGAGGAACTAAGCCTTTGCTACAGTGCTTGTACTAATACAGGTTCCCGGTGACAGTGTATTTTCTTGGTTCTGGGGATTGAGCCCCCTGGCATTTGGCAAGTGAGGCACAGTCTGTCACTTACTCCCCATATCCCCAGCTCTTCAGATTCTGTACATTCCACATGTACTATTTATAATGTCAGAGTCCTGTACACCGTAGTAATTCATTCTTTTTCTTTGATGATGATATCACCCTTTCTTTGTACTATACTAGGACTATTGTCCCTTTGGTGGACATTTGTATTGTTTTCATCTTTTGGCTGTATACAAATGTTACTACGAACCAATCTATGCCTCCCTTCCCCATCCTCCAAAGCTAGTCTGGGCAATTTAGACGTTTTCTTTCTCACCCTGAAAAAGTAAAAGCAGGCTGGGGACATAGCTCAGCATTAACACACTTGCCTGCTATATACTACAAAGAAAAAACAAAGCAAACCTTTTCTTTTGAAGTAAGGTGCCACTGTGTAGCTACTTTGGCTCTGAAGTTACTATGTAGCCCAGGTTTCTTTGGTGATCTTCCTGCTTCAGCCTTCTACCTGCTCGGGTTACAGGCCAGAAATACCACATGGCCTGTGATCTTTTCTTTAAAAGTTTCAAATTATTTGTTTTTATTCATTATGTGTCTGTGTATGGTTATGTGCAAATATCCCCAGAAGTCAGAGACCTGGGCTGTTCTGGAGGTGGAATTACAGATGGTTTTCAGCCACTCAGTGTGGGTGCTGGGAACTGAACTTTGCAAGAGCAGCAAGTATTCCTAATCACTGAGCCATTCTTCAGGATCCCTGCTTTTATTGTTGTAACTGAATCTTTGTATCGTTGTAAGTAAAGAGTGGTTTTCTTGGTTCATACTGTCTTTATTTGCTTCTTTGTTAATCCTAATGCAGATACATCACGGAATCTAGAATTTCATGAACTGCATAGCACTGGAAATGAGCCCCCTCTGCTGGTTATGATCGGCTACAGTGACGGAATGCAAGTCTGGGGCATACCTGTGAGTATACAGAAGGGGTACCTTGCTGCCCAGCATAAGCTCTGCAGATATGTTTACACATTATTAAGGCCTTGTGGAGAGTCATGGAGGAGGAAGCAAGTGTCAAAAAGTGTCTAAAAGGACAAGTGGAGATGAGTAGGAATTGTGGGACTCTGGTTTATGCATGGTATCACTTTTATTTAGGGTAATGCTATTAAATGGGGGTTGTTTTCTAATATACATGAGAGTAAGCTGAGACTTGGGGGAAAGATTTGTAATTAGAAAATGTTAATATTGTAGGCGGACTTTTCTTTCCCACCCGCCAATTCCCAAAATAACTGACATTAATTATAAATGCTCGCCCGATAGCTCAGGCTTGTTGCTAGCTAACGCTTACATTTTAAATTAATCCATATTTCTTATCTGCCCTCTTCCATGTGGCAGGTACCTTCTTTCAACACAGCACATTTATTTTCTCTCTTTGTATCTTGAGGCTTCCCAGACTCTTTCCTTCTTATTCCCAGTGTCCTTAGTCTGCTTTTCCCACCTAACTTTATCCTGTCGAACTATTGGGCAGTCAGCTTCTTTATTAAACCAATCACAGCGTAACTTACACAGTGTACAGAAAGATTATTCAACAGCACAGTATATCAATTGTTTTGTGTGTGCTAAAACATTCACGTGGGGAGCTGGGAGGGAGAGTCAGATTGGGGAGCCAGTGGGTGATGGTATAAGCCTAATCCCAGCACTCAGGAGACACAGGCAGGCGGATCTCTGTGAGTTCAAGACCAAAGCTAGTTCTACAAATCTAGTTCCAGGACAGCCAGGGCTACACAGAGAAACCCTGCCTCAAAAAACCAAAACTAAACCAAAACAAAAAAGGCCCACAAAAACCCAAAAAACATTCACATGAACCAACAAGATGGCTCAGTGGGTAAAGCTGTTAGTTGCTGAGCCTTACAAGTTGAGTTCAGCCCCCCATCCCTATAGAAGCAGAGAACTAATGTCTGAAAATTGTCCTCTTTGACAGTTTCACAATGTCACATGCACTGCCTGCATGCCTTTAATCACAGACAAAGGCAGGAGGATCTCCCGGTTAAGGCCAGCCATGATTACACACACACACACACACACACACACACACACACACACACACACACACACACACACACACACACACGTCAAAAAGTAGAAATCTGATTGCCTGGAGGTAGGAGAAATGACAGAAGGGGGAAGTTTTTACCCTTTTGTATCCTTTGAATTTTGTACCAGATGAACTAGAATAAAACCTTTAGGGGCTGGAGAGATAGCTCAGCTGTTAGGAGCACTGGCTGTTCTTCAAGAGAACCGGGGTTCAATTCCCAACACCCACATGGAAGCTTACAACTGTCTGTAATTCCAGTACCAGGGAACCTAACATTTTCTTCTGTCCTTTGAGAGCACTAGGCATCTATGTTGTGCATAGACATACATGCATGAAAGCAAATAGTCATACATGTAAAATTCATTAAATAAACCAAGCTAGGTGGTGCTGGCCCTTTGGAGGCATTTCTGTGAGTTTGAGGCCAGCCTGATCTACAGAGTGAGTTCCAGGATAGCCAGGGCAATTATACAGTAAAGCCATGTCTAGAAAAAAGAAACAAAAATCACTTTTATTTATTTTGTGAGGTGTTCTTGAAGCTGTATTTGTTGCTGTGACATTGGCTGTTTCTTTTGTGATGTCACTGCTTGGGAGCTCTTTTATGGACTTGAACAGTTGCATCATCTTTTATTCTGATTTTATAAATGACCACTGTTTCCTAATACAAATACTTTAAATGACCATAATTTTGACATCACATTGTTATACTGTGGGGCCAGATGTTACAGGCTTGTAATCCTAGTTACTTAACAGGTTGAGGTAGGAGTATGACAAGTTCAGGGCCTGTCTAGGCAACTTAGTGGGATGCTGTCTCAAAAAACAACAAAATGGATGTAATGAACTTGAACATAGCTATGCACGTATCTGTCAGTCTATCTATGGCTTTCATACTTTGAGATGGCAATCTCTTTGAGGTTCACCTGGCCTCAGGCTCCATCTGTCTTTGTATTGAGTTCTGGGATCACAAAAACTATATTTTATGCCTGAATATTTGTGTAGAGACAGACAAACCCCCACTCGATGTTTCTCTGTAGCTTTGGAGCCTGTCTTGGAACTCACTTTGTAGACCAGCCTGGCCTGGAACTTACAGAGATCAGCCTGCCTCTTCATCCAGAGTGCTGAGATTAAAGACATTCGACACCACCACCCTTTGAAATAGGATTTTACTGTGTATCTGAGGTTGGCTTTGAACTCACAGCAATCCTGCTCAGCTGCCTGAGTGCTCCAGTCATAAGTGTGTAACACATTGACTTGCTTTGGTGGGTAGATTGCATGTAGTGGAGTTGCTGACACAAAGATGCTGAGTGCATTTATGGTTTTAGACTTTTTTTTTTTAAACTTCCGTGTATGGGTGCCTGCCTTGTGTGGGTGAGTGTCTTAGGAAGCCTGAAGAGGGTGTGTTGGATCCACTGAAACTGGAGTTAGAGGTGGTTGTAAGCTGCCTGGGTGGGTGCTGGTACTCAAACTCAGGACCTAGAAGAGAAGCAAGTAGCAAGTCCCCTTAACCTCCGGGCCATCTCTCCAGCCCTTTGATATATGTATATATACACTCTGTTGCTAGCTTTTTGTGATGCTGAGGATTGTATCTAGGATGTGTAGTAGGCAACAATACATCTCCAGCCCCCTAGTCCTTTTTCTTTTTGTGTATAGGAAGACCTTTAGGGTGGTAATAGTTGCCTCTGTAGGTGGGAAAATAGACACATAAAGTAAGATGAGAAGTGACTCAGTACTACAGAGCAAGACTTGCTCCAAGTGGCTTTATGTCAGGTACAGATGGAGTTTGGAAGAGTGCTGGGATTAAAGGGCCAGGCATTTTAATTTTGTTTTTGTTATTGTTCCCCCTGGAATGTTTCTTCATGAAAACATTCATTAGCAATATCCTACTTCAGATTTATTGGAAGTTGGGATACTCTACAGCTGTGTTTCTCAGCCTGTGGGTTGTAACCCATTTTGGGGATTGCATATCAGATATCTGTTTATCAGATATTTTACATTACTATTTGTAACAGTAGTGAAAGTACAGTTATGAAGTAGCAAGGAAAATAATTTTATGGTTGGGGTCCCCATGATATGAGGAGCTGTATCAAAGGGTCGAGGCCTTCCGGAAGGTTGAGAACCACTGCTCCACAGAATAGAATTTGGCCTAAATGACAATTATAACAAAAGCATTTCACTTGTATTACTTTAACATTTTGAGTTGAAAAATTTGTTTATGGGCCAGCAAGATGGCTCAAAAGGTAAAAGTGCTTGCTGCCCAGCCTGACAACCTGAGTTCATGGTGGAAGGAAAGCACCAACTCACACAAGTTATCCTCTGACCGCCACACAAGTGCCAGTCAATAAATCAATGAATGTACTGAAAATTTCACAAATTGTTCATGCACTTGTTGCTCCATTCTGGTCGTAGGACTGTCATAGCACACTCATAGGATTAAAGCTGTATTTTGCGGCTGGAGACTGCTGCTGGTTGCCAGGAACAAGTAGTTTTTTTCTCTTTTACTCATCCCCACCCCTAAGTATTGAGAACAAATCCCTAGGGCCTTACTCACGTGGGGCAAGTGTTCAGGTGTGCAGGTGGCTCTGCTCTTGGCTTCAATTCATGTTTTCAAAGCTTTGCCTTGTTTTGTAACCTATAAAGAGGAAACACAAGCTGAATTGAGGGAGTGGTTTCATTAGTGTAACTTTCCTGTATTAATAGGGAAGTGACTACATTCATCTCCACGTGCTGTTTACAGGCAGCTTGTAAGGGGTGGCCTTCACAGGATGGTTGGGCTGGCTTAGGGGTGTTGACTGGATTGAGTACATTCTTGTGATGGGACTCAGGTAGCTCTGCCCGCCCACTTGTTTGGTGATGATTGGAGGCATCACTTTGAATAGTTTCAAAGGTGGCTTGTATCATCTGAGAATATCTTAAAAGGATCTAATCCTCCTTTCCCTCCAGTTGTATTTGGGAAGGTCAAAGTAACCGTCTCTTGCTGGTCACTGTAGTCACAGGGATACGTGAGCTCACTGTGTTCTTTGGTTTGCTTTTGGAGTGTTGGGTTCCTCCTAGGACATTATCCCAGGTAATGTTTTCTGTGAGGTCACAGTTACTACGATTTTGGTGAGAAGGTCACTCTGCTTGTGAGTGTGGGACTATGTTGTCAATCTGGCTTGGCCTGAACGCAGATTCACAGCCAAATCCAACAGCTGTACTTCATCACTTCCCAAGAAGGACAGCAGAAAAGACCATGACAGTAATTTAGCTCTTATTTTCATTTGTAAACTTTTTTTTTTTTTTTGCAGTATGGAGATTGATGAGACCCCTGTCTTTAAGTCAGACACTCTTCTGCTGAGCTACTGTGAAAGGCTGGGGTATTGCACATAGCCTAGACAGTGAGGAAGCTTATGCTGGTCAATAAGTTGACTTCCACAGGTCTTAGCTGATGGCAGGTCACAGTGCTTTTCAAACCATATCCAGTCCTTGGGTCACTGCTTCTTTTTTGTGGGGGAGGGGTTTGGAGACGGGCTTTTTCTGTGTAACAGGTTTCTTTGTGTAGAAGCCCTAAGCTGTGCTGGAACTGGCTCTGTATAATAGGCTGGCTTTGAACTCACAAAGATCTACCTGCTTCAGCCTCTCAAGTGCTGGGATTAGGCTACCATGCCTGGCTTCCATTTAATCAAAATTTTATGACATGCAGGGCCTCATGGATGCTAGCAAGGACCCATCCACTGAGCTGTAACCCTGACCCCTGTTTGCTGATTTTATGTTATTATCCCCAGTGTGACTCTGAAGAAGAGTATAAATAGAACTGAGGGTATTGCTTGGTGCTAAAGTACCTGCGTGACAAGCCCAGGCCTGGCCTTGATTCTCAGTTAACCTCCTGACCCCCACCAAAATC